TTGTGCAAAGAATAGGGCTCAGTACATGGTGAGAGGAGTGAGGTGCTCACACGAAACATAAGCCACAGGTCAGTCCTCAGGATGTTCGCTTTCAGAAAAGCCTACTTTTAAAAAAATCATTTTATTGGGGGCTCTTACAGCTCTTAAAACAATCCATACATCAGTTGTATCAAGCATATTTGTATATATGTTGCCATCATTATTGAAATGCCTACACTTGATGAATGTGTAAGAAATGGGTTTTACCTGTTCCCTGCACTGCGAGACCAGAAAACTTAAGGAGGGCAGCCTGGTTGTAATGTCAAAGGCAGAAAGAGGTTATGGGTGTCATTTAGTTTGCCCAGTTTAAGACACTGACGAGTAATGCTCTGGCTGGAGAACAGCCGGGTGCCTCAGCCTGAGGAGCCTCGGCATGGATCTGGAAGATAGAGGGAGCACCACCATCCTGGCATCCTCACACTTTCACACACCCCCCGCCGTGGGAGGACTCCCTGCTGTGTCAGCTGGAGAACCTAACCCCTTGGGCAGGTGGGCCCCTGTGTAGAGATGTCAGTTTACCCCCTGGTTCAGAATTAGGGTTATTGCCTAACAAGGCAAGTAATAGCGTGACCCATCAGCACGAACATTCTGCTCTGCTTGACTTGAATTTCTCTTGGCTCATTAATCAGTGGGCGTTTAAAAAGTACACGATGCCAATAGAGAAGCTGGGCTTGCCCATGGATTTACTGTTACCGTGCCGCCTCCTAAATCTGCCTTCTAAATCCACTAATGATTTAGATAGCACTCGGGTTGCTAACCCCAAGGGCAGTGGTTCCAAGCCAGCAGCAGCTCCTTGAGAGAAAGACAGGCCATTTGTGTCAGCGCAAGCTCACAGGCTCAGAAACTGTGGAGGAATACATTCAATGGCAGTGGGTTTCCGGTTTCCATTAGACACTCTTCTAAACATTGCCTGGTGCCCTGCCGAAATGCCAGTTTTGAAAATTTGATGTTGAAGGGCCTTGACCCCAGAGACTTGCCCCCTGGCTCTGGCCTCCTCGGTAACTGGGAGTGGACTAAAGGCAGGCGTGTCTGTCCAGTGGGAGCACTTCTCACGCCAGGGTTCGTGTTAGGAAGCAAAACCCGTGTGGACAGACTACGGATTTGTATCTGCCACGGGTCCACTCATTTTGTTTTTCTTTATATTGTTTTCCCTTTACACCCCCACCCCCAAGTTAAACAACTGTTTTTCAAAACATCAAAAGATCCTCAAGGATTTACAAAGAAGAGCAGAAGCTTCTTGACCATCCGGTCTCTCTCCTCTGAGGCCTGCTGCCCAGAAGTAGCTGCCCTAGTCTGTTCTTGTATTAGTTTGTTCAGGTAGGTTACCTCCCAGACGCTACTTTGTGTGTCTAGAGCACTGTTTCGTCACAGTGGTCTGAAGGAGTGACTGACCCTTGAAGAACTGAATCCCCAGTCTTTTTCTCTTTTTATTGTATATACTCTGTCAAACCAGACCAAACCTACCCCCACTGAGTGGATTTTCACTCAACCAGGCTACAGGACAGGGTAGAACTGTCCCATAGGGTTTGCAAGGCTGGAAATATTGATGGGAACAGACTGCCTCATCGTTCTCTGGTGGAGTCACTGGTAGATCCCAAATACCAATCTTTTGGCTGAAGCATTTAACCATTTCACCACTAGGCTCCTTTCCTTAGTCTGTTGCCAGATTTCCTTTCCTGCCACTGCATCTGACTCGCTCCCAGCCCTCTCCTGCCTGTTTCTGCCTGGCTGATTCATGCTCCCTTTGCTGCAGACCTTTCCTGCAGATTCTAGGTGGTTCTTTCCGCTTTACATTTTATCTTCACTAGGCTTTTGTCCTCTTTCTATTGGTTTCTCATTTTATTTTCAGTTATAATTAGAAAGGATTTTTGTTTCTTTTTTATAGAGAGCTTCCTTATAAACCATTCATGTTCATTTCTTTTTCTCATTAATGTGAATAGGCGCCTGCTTGTGCCAGAGCGGGAGACACTGTTTAACACTCTAGCCAACAACCGGGAGATCATTAACCAACAGAGGAAGAGGTTGAACCACCTGGTGGACAGCCTCCAGCAGCTGCGTCTCTATAACCAGACCTCCCAGTGGAGCCTTCCTTCAGCTCTTCCTTCCCAGAGCAGCACACTCAGGTCTGTAAGGAGAATAGACCCGCTAGCCCCCCTTTTCCTCAATAAATATGGCTGAATGAGTGAACGACTGTTTAGGGAATAATGTGCATTAGTCTTAGAGTGGTTCAGGTGTGGCTGTGAGAACAACTGTATTGTCTGCTACCTCTGGGCTCCTGGTCAGGTGCTTTACCCTGTCTGTCTTTCCACCCTTTGCCGAAAAATGGGGGGTGCCTCAGTTACTGGAGAGTTGAGTTATGCCTCCCAAGCACCAAGTATTATTAATGCCTGTTAAGATCGGTGCTCATTAGATGATACGATTCTATGCTGAGAGGCTTAGGTTGACTTCCTCATCCTTTCTTGCCCAGGATTATCATTTTGCTGGAGTGTGTCGATGCTTTCAGGCTTGGGCAGTTGTCAGGGTGGTATGGGTGTCTGCTTTCAGGCCCAGTGTTGGGATTTAGTCCCACCGGGCAATGTTTGGGGTGGTGTATCTTCTCTCCTTTTGGATTGCTCATGACGATGGAGCGGAGTGCAGGTCTATCGGGGAGGCTCTCGTCTCCTGCATTTATATGTGCTTAAGATCATGTGCCTCCCTCACCCTCAGATTTCTCACATCATAGCTCCTTATTGGTATGTACATTATCCTCTTTCAGTTTTGACAGTGACCTTGAAAGCCTGCGTAATGCTCTGTTGAAAACCACCATAGAATCGCACGCGAAACCCTTGCCCAAAGTACCAGGTAAATGCTTGTGTTTTTCATTCTTTACACTCTCTTTGTTCTGTTCCATCTACTGACATCTTAAATACTGAATCTTAAAGCATTTATGGATTTCTTGCAGCTAAACTGTCCCCCGTGAAACAGGCACAATTGAGAAACTTCTTGGCCAAGAGGAAGACCCCACCAGTAAGATCCACTGCTCCAGGTAAAGGGAACTAGTCAGAAGGTTTTCACATAGACCATATAACTGTGTGTGTGTGTGTGTGTGTGTGTGTGTGTGTGTTGCATTTTCCTTTGCCTGGATATGAAAATAAAAAGCGAGTTATACCTGTCATCGAACAGTCAATGAGCATGTATGACCCCATGCTCTATGGCAGTGACTCCCAAGGACTTTTGAAAGGCTGAGCTGGCCCTGGGATCCTAGCCCATGCTGTAGCCGGAGCAGCTTTGAATTTCTTTTTTGTATAAATTGCATTTGGAAAATGGTTCTTAAGAAAGAAGGGGGCAGGAGTGGGTGGGTTGGGGAGATCCTAATGATTAGCTAATAATGGCTAAAAACACTTACTGTTAAAAAGCCTTATAATATACAAATTAAATTTTTCCCATTAAATTATCTATATAGGGAGTCCTGGTGGCGTAGAGGTTATGCATTGGGCTGCAGTCTGCACGGTCAGCAGTTCAAAACCATCAGCTGCTCTGCAGGAGAAAGATGAGGCTCTTCGTTTGCTCTTTTAAAGAGTTAGTCTTAGGAATTCATGAAACAGTTCTGCTCTGTGCTGTCGGGTTGCTATGAGTCAGCATTGACTCATTGGCAGTGAGTTTTTGTTTTATTTAATTTGTATACTCATATTTGCCTTGGTTTTTTGGTTTGTGTTTTGTCTTTAATGCTATGCTTTAATACCCCTATCTGCTTTTTCCTTTGAACTCAGTCTTGAGTTAAGATTGTTTTCTTTTATACCAGCAATGTCTCTTGGTAATGAAAAGAGCTGAGGGTAATTTAATTAATCTTCCTATACTACACTTCATTAATTTTTTTGATAATCATCTAGGGCTAACTTTGGTTAAACACTCAGCACAGATAAGTGAGTTTTGTAATAACTTTTTCCTTATCTACAGGCTATAATTTATAATTTACTGGATAATTGGGAGAAATAGAGATAGGAATTAAAATGACTCTTAAGCTCTCAATCCTGGTGTAGTGTTATTAAACATCATTTTTATCCCCCAAACGTTCTTATTTCCAAATGTAAATTTATTTCTTTGAAAGTGATGTTTGGATCATAACATTTAGGATTTGTTTGTGTGTGTGTGTGTCATTTTTTTTTTTTTTAGTGAAAAATTCATAAGAGTTTTCTCTGCCTTTGATTTTTAAATAATATTTGAAAATAGCCTTACCATGACTGCACAATGTCTTCTTGTGTTAGAAGGCTATAACTTATTCAACCCCAGTTGTTAATCCAGTTGCCAAGATTTTACTCAGAATATTCTTTAACCACATCACCAATCATATATTTATGATAGTTTTTTTTAAAAGTGAGATTTATGTAATTTATTCATTGAACCAATATGAGTGACTGCTTTGTTCCAGACAGTGGTAAATAAGAGACATGGTTCCTGACCGCTTAAAACTTCCAGTTACAGGAGAAACACAGACATTAGCATTATACTCACTTAATAATATGATGCGTGCTGTGAAGAAGAACTCAGCTCGGAACATGTGGGCATGTGAAGTTTAAAATTTTTCAAGCACTCCACATGTCCAGAAAACCAACATGCGTGCTGTGTGTGTTCTACCCAGAGCATTGCCAGCGCTCGGGAATCCCCTTGTGTGCATGCCCAGTGTTCCCCCCGCCCACAAGCTCTGCAGATGTGTGTCATAGCTTTGCCCTTTAGTTGTTGTTGTTATGTTTTACGGTCTTGTTATTTTCAACTTGTTAGTGTGAACAATTTCAAACCTTAGAAAAGTTGCTAGAATAATGGAGTGAACCTCTGCATACGCTCTGTGCATAGTCACCAGTGGTAACTTTTTGCCCCGATTGTTTTTTCTCTCTTCATCCCGCCCTCCAGTCACACACATTATTCTTTTTGCGAAACGGTTTGAGAGCCAGCTATAGATAGTGTCCTTCACTTGTAACTACTTCAGCTTGGTTCCTCTGAGAGCAAAGACACTGCCCTATACAACCACGATACAGTTTCCAAACTGTGGACAGTTACCACCGATAGACTGCTGCTATCTGATAGACGATCTATGCGCAAGATTTGTGAATGTTCCGATTATGTCCTATCTGGTCTTTGTTTTTAACCCAGGATCCCAGACAAGATGATGCAGCATATTTTGCCATCTCTTTAGCCACTTAAGTTTTTTCTTCTCCTTACAATTTTTTTCATCCCCAAGACATTGTCATGTAGCTTTGCCTGGGTTTCTCCACATACATTCACATTCTCTTGTATTCCACGTGAGGTTTGTAAGGTTCATCCTTCTCGTATGTACTGTAGCCCCTTGGCCTCTGTCCTGCTCAGCCAACTATTACCAAGCTTTTAGCTTTGCCCATAAATGACCACAAGTGCCGTCAGGCTCCACATGTAAGCCTTGGCCTAGAAGGTATTCCACTCCAGCTCCATGGCTTGGCAAACCCCCTTAATAGATGCCTAAAAGCAACTCACTCATCCAGCAAGCCTACTGCTGAAGGCTCTCTCCTTTATGGGCCAGGAAGCCACCCCGCTAGCTCCGGCTAGTGTCCTGGTTCCACTGCCTCTGCCGTCGCAGCTTCCTGCCTGAAAAGTATGCCTCGTACTGATGGAAGACCTGAGCATTTCTGAACCTGAATTATAACCATTTACTTCCCTAACTGAATATGGTCTGTAAGTTCTGTGTGGCTGTTACAACAAATGGTTGAACTCAGTGGAGAGTTAAGGCAGTGCAGTGGGAGGGATGGTTGGTATCAGAATTGGCAAATAAATTGGAATGTGGAGGTGTGTTTTGACTTTCACTTCATAGAGATCTGCCATGGGCTGATGTTAATGTTGGCGCTTCTCGTGCCCATGTGAAGTTAGAGGAGGTCAGCTAATGCGTCCACACCACTTTTTCTCTTGCCCACCATCTGTGAGCGGGGCACTGCTGCCTGTTCCTACTCTGGTCAGAGTCTCACACACAAGACATTTGGTTGCTGTGCAGTGCATGTGCTGCTTTTGTTTCTGAAGACCGCCGCTGAATGCGCCCCTTTGAAACAATTTGAAGCCTAGGTAGAATCTTTGAAGTGACTGTTGTAAATTTACTCCTAGCGATATTTTTCTGTGAAATGCCTGATAACGTCTTTTGCCCATTTTTCATTGGGATAATCTGACTTGTTGACTTGTAAAGTTTTGGGTTTTTTAAAAATAAATTCTGGATGATAGCCCCCTGTTGGTTACAAATTGTAGATGTTCACTTTGTTGCCATTTTATTCTTCATGTTGTCTTTTGAGAACAGAAGTTCTTAATTTTATTAATTTTATTTTTAACAAACAAATGAATCATCTCACATTTTGGAGGCAGAAAAGTGATTTCAGGGTGCCAGCTCCAGGAGCAAGCATTCTCTCTTGGGCAAGGCCCTTAGTTCTTTCTAACATCTCTGGGTCAGGTTTCCCCCAGAGATCGCCATGGATCCTGACATCAATCTTGCCTGGCATCTAGGGGTTCTTAGTGCGGGGACCCCAGATCCAAAGGGCTCACGTTACTCCTGGCTCTTCTGGATGGGGATAGTCGGTCTCTGATGTCTGCTTCAGAAAATGTTAATAGAGTCCTCTCTTTCTCACTCAAGAAATCCTGTTTATCTCAAGATAACAAACCACCTTTATTATTTTCTAGAGCAATTGATATTTGCCTGTCACATTTAGGTCTACTTTCTACCTAGAATTATAGTTTGAAAATAACAACTTTATTAGTTTATATGTCATAAAACTCGCCTGTTACAAGGTTATAGTTGAATGATTGTGTGTGTGTGTGTGGTAAACTTGCAGGCTTGTCCACCAACACCACGTTTTGCTTTCTGAATAGTCCCATGACTGCAAGTGTGCAGCCAGTGACTGTTCTCGCCCTAGGACTGTGGCGACCACTGACCTGTGTTTTTGCTGTAGAGATTCACCTTTTCAAGAAATTATACAGAAACAAAGTCACATCTAGTCTATTTAGATACCCGATTTTTCCAGTGCTACTGAAAAAAACTGTCCTTTCTGCTTAGCAAGGCCATCTGCTTTATCTCATACACTGGTTCCAAGTGACCAGTATTAGAACTGTCCTCATTGACCTGTATTAACACAAATCTCAATACTTTTCTCTTTCTAAATTCCAGAACTGTGCTGTTGCCCAGTACAGTAACCACTAAGCCATGTATGACTATTTAAATGAAAAGTCATTAAAATCAAGAAAGGCTGTAATTCAGTTGTAACCACATTTCAAGTGCACAGTAAGCACATGTGGCTAGTGGCTACTGTAATGGGAGGCACACACTGAGAATGTTTCGCCATCACCTCAACTTCAGCAATCTAAAACAGGGCTTAAAGTGCCAGACAGTAAATATTTCAGGCTTGCAGGTCACGTGGCTTCATTGTCCGTCCTTGACTCTGCCACGGCACTGGCAAGACAGCCATTGCCAAGATGCACATTAATGGAATGTCTGTTTTAATAAAGTTTTATATAAAAATAGACAGCAGGCCATGATCATAATTTGCTAACTTATGATCTCTTGTTTTGACTCAGTCTCGTTACTGTACATTTTCATATTAATATTAGAATTGCTTTGTCACATTCTACTGCGCCTCCCCTCCCCCCCAAAAATGAGACTTTTGAGATTATATCCATATCTGTAGATCACCTTGGAAGAATTGTACAGTATGGCTCTTTCAGTTCCTGAACATAATAAGTTTATGTTTGTATTTGGATCTTCTTTAAGTTCTCTGCATGGAAGACATACACATGTTTTGTTAGATTTATTCCTAAAAAATTCATCTTTTTTAGTGGTTTTTTTTTTTTTCAGTGCTCTTAGAATGGTTGTTCTATTTTTATAAATTTTATTTTTCTCTTGATTTATGTTGAATTTGGTATTTAGAAATACATTTGATTTTTGTATGTTGGCTGTAGTCAGTGCCCTGCCTAAACTCATGTATTTTAATCCCATGTTTCTAGCTACTTCTTGGAGACTGTAGACAATTATATGTATGGATATTATTTATTTCTGTCTTTCCTGTCCTTTTATTTGTTTTTCTTAACCTTATATGCCACTGGCTAGGACTGTGAATGCATTGCCCACTGAACGTGATGAGTGGGCACCTGGCCTTGATCTCAGAGGGAATATTTGCTCTATATGTTCACCGTCATGTGGGAGACTCGCTGCTCTTTTCTGTAGAAAGGCTCCTTTCTTGCCTATTTTGCTGAGGGTTTTTGTTGTTTCTCTTTAATCAGGAGCAGGTGTGGGGTTTTGCCAACTACTTTCTCTGCATCTACTGAAATAATCATATGATTTGTCCATGCTCGCCTCTCTCACCCCACCCAGTGTGGCTTTCTCCTTTTCCTAATCTGAGCTGGAGTTTAAGCAGAATACGTTTTGTCCCATTTTCGTGGTGCCAGGAAGCAGCTGCATCCTTGCTCAGAGCAAGGAAGCCCTGCACGCATACGCTAGTGACGGCAGGAGCCACGCAGCAGTGAGCGCACAGGCTCCTGCCGTCACCCGGAAGTGGCACCGGGCAAGAAGCCTGCGGGGGCTAAGTTCTGCCCAGCATAGGGTCGTGGGGAAATGCCAATACCCTTGCATTCCTTTTTCCATGAACTTTTTTTTCATCATTTTATTGAGGGCTCATACAACTCTTATCACAATCCATACATCCACCCATTGTGTCAGGCACATTTGTTCATTCGTTGCCCTCATCATTCTCAAAACATTTGCTCTCCACTTAAGCCCTTGGTATCAGCTCCTCATTTTCCCCCTCCCTCCCCGCTCCCCGCTCCCATCTCATGAACCCTTGATAATTTATAAATTATTATTTTGTCATGTCTTACAGTGTCCGGCATCTCCACCCACTTTTCTGTTGTCCGTCCCCCAGGGAGGAGATTATATGTAGACCCTTGTAATCAGTTCCCCCTTTCCACCCCAGCCTCCCTCCACCCTCCCAGTATTGCCACTCTCACCACTGATCCTGAAGGGATCATATGTCCTGGATTCCCTGTGCTTCCAGTTCCTATCTGTACCAGTATGCATCCTCTGGTCTAGCCAGGTTTGTAAGGTAGAATTGGGATCATGATCGTGGTGGGGAGGAAGCATTTAAGAACTAGAGGAAAGTTGTATGTTTCATCGTTGCTCCTCTGCACCCTGACTGGCTCGTCTCCTCCCTGTGACCCTTATGTAAGGGGGTTTCCAGTTGCCTACAGATGGGTCTTGGGTAAGGTGACCAGACGTCCCGCTTTTGGCAGGACAGTCCCGATTTTTAACAATTTTTCCCGTGTCCTGTGGCGTTTTTTAAAAGTCCTGATTTTTTTTGAAAGAATGCACAACAAGCCAGGGTATATGTTTTTCGGCTACCATATGGCTCTTTCACCATGATATGAGTTTTATCGATGGTGTCCCGCTTTTGTCCCGCTTTACCAATGTTACAATCTGGTCACCTTAGTCTTGGGTCCCTAATCTGCACTCCCCCTCATTCACAATGATGTGATTTTTTTATTCTTTGATGCCTCATACCTGATCCCTTCGATAACCTCATGGTCACACAGGCTAGTGTGCTTCTTCCGTGTGGGCTTTCTTGCTTCTGAGCTAGATGGCCCAAGAACTTTTGGAAGCTGCCTCATGTCACAGTGTGTTGTTAAGAACGTGGTATCTTTGAAATCAGGCACACCTAGGTTTGGATTCTGGCACTGCCATTTACCAATTCCATGACCTTGGGCAAATTACTTACCCTTTTTAAGCACGAACCATAAAGCCAGGTAATAGCACTTCTTTCTAGCTTATAGTGTCATTGTGAGGGTTTTGTGTAGCACAGAAGCATTTATTCAGAAGTAAGTTTTGAGTGAATGTCAGCTGCAGTCTCCCTGGTGGTGCTGGGTGCTTATGGGTGGAATTCCTAAGTGACCCTGCTGCATAGTTACTTTCTTCCAGAAATTCTCGCACCGCTCTTGATAGAGCCATTTGTGATGGTGCAAAATGCCTCCACTGTCCCATACGATAGCACTAGCACATCACATGTGGCTGTTCAGCATAGAAATGTGACTAAGAAATTGAGGTTTTAATTTTATTTACTTTTAATTACTTCAAACTTAAATGGCCACAGGTGGCAAGCAAGTCAGACAGCATAGCTCCAAGCATACCATTGGTCTTCCATTGCATTTGTATGGGTTACATGTACGCCATAACAAATAAAATCTTGCAAAATGATAACAAGTCCTCAGCTATCCAGATAGCCATTTCAAAGAACTTGAGTGGAGCAATGGTACGGTTGTGTTTGCCCCCCTAATACACAGGCTGTAACAATATACAGAATTCTGAAATTCGTGGTAGAAAATAATAGGACTTTAAGTTTTATTTCATAGTGTTTAGATGGAAAACACAAACTGAAGAAAAGAAAAACACAAACCGAACACCAGAAGTAAGCTTAGTGATTATTATTTTTTTTTACCTAATTATCTGATTCAAAAGAGTCATGAGAGTTACCTGAACTGTTGAAGGTGTTCAAGGCTGAGCACGGACTTTCCCTTCACAGCAAGCCCCTACTTAGAATTGTGTTGTTGGGGGGTGGCGGGGCAGGGTAGGCTGCTCCCCCTGCTGTGGAAGCTCGGCTAGTCCTTTTCGCATAGATTATGATTCTACCTGTAAACATTTCTGGTGCCAGGTTTGCTGCCTGACACCGGCCCTCATTCTCTGTCTTGCTTTCTTCACATACTTTTATTTGACGGTCAAAATGGTGTTACCCTACACAACTCAGTTTTTCAAAGCCCCACGTGAGCCAAGACCCCACACCATTTACTTCACATTTGACAACAGCAGCTTCCACTCAAAATGAGCAATAATGGAAATATTATGCAGACCGGTGAACATTATGTAGCTTTGGACTTGCTGTGAGTTGTCTTTTTTTGTTTTTGCTTTCAGCTGTCTAAAGTTGTGTTTTGTTTTGGGCTTTGTAGCCAGCCTGTCTCGGTCAGCTTTCTTGTCTCAGAGATACTACGAAGACCTGGATGAAGTCAGCTCAACATCATCTATTTCTCAGTCTTTGGAAAGTGAAGATGTGCCAGTACCGTGTAATGATGAAGACGCCCCAGTCCAAGCCCCCTGGCATGCTCCCGTGGTGCGCACGACCTCCGTCCAACCCCCACTGTTGCCCCAGGGAACGCCTTTCGCTAAATCTCATGTGGGGCCGGCCTGGTCACCTGGTATGTTAGGAGCTTCAAGTAAGTAAAGGATGAGAAAGGAAACTCTCATTTTTCTCCCCTTGTTACGGTTTTAATTTGTGAGGGAATTGTAGCTGAATTTTATATTATCATGCCAGTAACATTGTTGTTGGTTCTCGCCCATCTCTGCTAGCATTTAAAAAGTCAGACAAATAATCCGAAAGCTATGGTTCCCTTTGAAAGAGCTTGGTAGGACATGAGGAAAAGGAAGTGACGGCAAGGGGTTGCATCCTTGAGCAGCTTTGGTGTTGGGTCCACCCTGTGATTTTAAAACAGGCTTGTCTTCGGTAGTAAAAGGAGGAGGCTATTAGTGTGCCTCAGTATAATGCACCATCCACACAGTTCAGTTTCACTTACAGCCATATTCTGCCTCAAAATTCACAAGCTGCCGTGATTTTTGCCAGGACTGGCTCATTGAAGTGGGCTTATGTTGCGCTCCCATACCTACAGGTCAAGGTGGCTTCTCTCGCTGCCATTAAGTCAGTGCTGACTTAGAGCGACCCCCGTGGTCGGTTTCTGAGACCTTTTACGGGAGTAGAAAGCTTAGTTGTTCTCCTAGATGCTGCTGGTGGTTTTGAACTGCCAAACATACGAATTACAGCAACCATAAGGGTGGCTTCTAACAGAGAACAAATACTTCTGAGTATGACATCCTGGAATCAATCAGTGTTAGGAGAAGGGAGCAAGAAATTGGGTACTACCCACTGTGGGAAACAGAGTATTTTGGCTAACGGTAGAAGTGGGTTGGTAAATTGGCCTGGGCGTCCGGGAAAGATACTGATGCCAGCCTGTCATCTGATTTGTCCTTTGCCACGTCAGTGCTTCAGAAATGTCTGATTTCAGTGTTCCCCTGCACCCTAACATGGAGCATATACCATGGTGACTTTTGTACATTCCTTTTCTCTGACCTGCTCTCACACTTAGTCTCTTTCCCTCAGTGTCGGCATCTGCTAGCAAAATTATTCCTCAGGGGGCTGATAGCACAAGGCTTGCAACGAAAACTGTGAAACATGGTGCACCTAGTTCTTCCCACGCCATCTCCGCTCCCCAGGCAGCCGCAGCTGCAGCCCTGAGGCGGCAGATGGCCAGTCAGGCACCAGGTAACAGCTAGCCCCGCACCTTTTCAGAGACTGATGGTGAGCTGTCAGTCTCACCGTAGGGCAACCGATAATAAGAAACAGCTAGATCTCGCTCACTCTCCCGGCAGAAGAGAAGACAGGTAGTATAGCCTTGTGAGGCTTTCAGGGCTGAGTTCCAAGAAGGCAGGGACCAGGTCTGAAGCTGCTTCAAGGGAGCTATGAGAGCTGCCATGTTTCTGTTAATTGGGGATGTGTGTGTAGATCATCCCTACTTTTGAATCCTCAGTGCCTGCTTTGAGCCCTAAAATTAAAATTGGTGATTTGACTACCAGATAACATTTGCATGGTATTGTAGGATACCCATTTTGCTTTTGAGTAACCTTGCCTGAGCGATAGGTGACAGAACCCAGACTCCATTGCAGTACAGCCTTTTCTTAAAAAATGAAGCTTTTGACCTTGAGAGAGGGGCCCTCTAATGAGCTGACAACACTGACATGTTGTCAGGGGTTTGGTGGTTCTCCAACATTGTCTACATTAGGATTTCAGTTATCACTTATTCCCAAAGTGGCTTTCAACCACTTTGGGCTGTCACATTTGGAGTGTGTGTGCAAGTGCACTGCAGGCACCTAGTGGATAGAAGCCAGGGATGCTACAAAAAAATGTAGAGTGTACGGCAAAGGATTAGCCAGCCCAAAGGCCAACAATGCAGAGATTGAGAAGTATTTTAGATTAATCATTGATCAGAGCTCTTATCCACCTAGGTTTAAAAGGACATGGTGTGCACAGCTCTACATGATTGAACTATTAAATTGCATGATAAGTGAATTATATGCCAATAAAGCTATTAAAATTAAAAACATTTGATTTCAGGCAAAAATGAATTAACATGCAATGATGAATAAAAATTTATGAAAGCCTTTATTTAGACATCTAAACTAGATATTAAAAATCATAAGATAACTAAGATGCCTTATCACAATAGAAACCTTTGGTGTTCTCTTTAAAGATCATGTGGACCAAACAGAATTCCGATGTGCTGAACAGGCCCAAAATAAAGCTGATCCAGTTGATTATTTGGAAACTTAAATGTGCCAGTATTTAGGATTGTCCCACTGTCAGCAGGAGGTGTGATCACTGTTATCGTTTTGGAAGCAAAAATTTCTAAGGAGTAAGCACCTTTGAGTATGAAAAATGACTTATGCCAGCCATAGGCAAAGTGTCCAGAGAACCACCTCCGAGGCCCTGCTCTCCCTGTGGTGTGGTGGGCGGGAATCGAAGAAGAGAGCCGCTTTCTTAATAGTTCATTATAACTAAGGGCCAACAAGAGAGAAGTAATGGCTAGAAGTACCTAGCCTAAAATAGGTACCAAGCCAATCAAACCCACTGCCATCAAGTTGATTCGACTTTATTTCAGATTTTGTGTGGTATTCGTAGCACGTAGCCCAGAGCTTGACACTTAACAGGCGCATGGAAGAGGCATTGAGTGAATAAATGAAAGGCCAAAATCGTGATCCTGAAGGCCCTTACCCCTCTTGCTGGCTGCCCCTTGCATGATGAGCCAGGAGGTAGTTCAGCTCTGCTCTAGGAAAGCTGGGCCAGGGCGTTCTCGTACATGAGTACATTTAGATAGAGCGAGTGGCAGCTTATCCCGTGGTTTTGTGTTCTGTCGAGTGGGCTGTGGAACCACCTCGGGTAGATTTGCTTCCGTGTCGTAAGTTGCAGTCTACTCGAGCTCATGGCCATATATGTCATTCATATATGTATGTATATGGCTGGGATTTCAGATCCCACTGGGATTAACGTGCTTCTCCTTTTGAAATAGCTGTAAGTTCCTTGACTGAGTCAACGTTGAAGAATGTCCCTCAAGTGGTAAATGTGCAAGAATTGAAGAATAATCCTACGTCCCCTTCGGCACCAATAGGGTAGGTTAACTATTTAAAATTTTTTTTAAAAATGTAACCAGTCCATTATTCTGTAATAGAGATAAGCTACCTGTAGGGTGCAGTATTGCTGCTGCCACAGAATACAGTTTTCTCTGCAGAAGGCTCTAGAGCAGCGGTTCTCAACCTGTGGGTCACGACCCCTCTGGGGGTCAAATGACCCTTTCACAGGGGTCGCCCGAGTCATAACAGTAGCAAAATTATAGTTATGAAGTAGCAACGGAAATAATGTTATGGTTGGGGGTGTCACCACACATGAGGAACTGTATTCAAGGGTCACGGCATTAGGAAGGTTGAGAACCACTGCCCTAGGGGGGAGATAGAGCCCATCCTTTGGGTTTCAGGAGTTACCGCTTCAGCTTGCCAAAACCAGTTCCTGCATACACCTTTGAAAGTGTCTTAGTGATGTTGTGTTCTCTGTTTGCTCTTTGCCGTGTACACATCTCCTATGGTACAGCTTATATTGCAAGCACTTGGCATTCTTGACTTGACCCCTTGGGGTAATCCAGACTGTTTGTTCAGATAGCTCAATGATGTTCTTGACATTGACCATCTTCTCCCTTGGTATAAGGGGGGGATCTTTTTTTTTTTTTAATCATTGTATTGGGGGCTTGTACAACTCTTATCAAAATCCATGCATCCATCTATTGTGTCAAGTACATTTGTACATTTGTTGCCCTCATCATTTTCTAAACATTTTCTTTCCACCTGAGCCCTTGGTATCAGCTTCTCACTTTTCCCCTCATGAACCCTTGATTATCTATAAATTATTTTTACTTTTTCATGTCTTACACTGACCAATGTCAAAACAATCCTAGAGTAAAAGATAGTGACTGTGTATGGAGAAGCCCTGCTCCTCTTCCATCCCCTGGGAGGGCTAGATTGTCGAGAGGAGGTCACACTTGTGTGTGGCCCTTGTCTCTGTTCACAATTCAAGATGCTGCCTCCCTCCCACTGTGCTGGGCACACAGCTCAGATACCTGTGTGCCCTGTTGGCTTGGCAGAGTTTGTAGCCATGATCCATGGATTCCCACCAGCCTCCTCTGTGGCCTAGGGAGAAGTTGAAAGACCTTTTCTCAGTTTGAGTGTGGAGATTGGGAGGGCCGTTGTCATTTGGGTTGTTAGTATATGCTGTTCACGGTTAATCCAGTGGCAAGAATAGTAGCCACAGACCCTGTTGGTTGTCTGCAATATGCCTGTTCCCAGCTGCCCCTCGAGCAGCTCTGCTCACCATTTCATTTCGCTTTATCAAGTGACCCCGCTTCACAGCTCCCTCATTTTTCCACATGGGTCCATCTATCAGTGTGTCTGTGCCAGGGATTTTTCATTTATCTCAAGGCCATTGGAACAGCAGAAGAAATAAGCTTACCCGCTTTCCTGCCTTGATAGTGACCTTGGAGCCTTGGTATGCTGTTTAGACCTAAGTGGTATTTATGGTCATTGTGAACTTTTCAAGGGGAAAAAAACTAAAGCGTTAGAGAGGTTTGGAATTTTACCCAGATTCCTGGTGTAGAGAAGGCTCGGAAAAGCTACAAGGAGGGCAGAATATGATATAAGATGGGAAAATCCAGCTCTGGTGAAAGAAAGATGGTGTGGTGTTTGTGAGATATTAAAGCTATGAGCCATGTATGCCATGCACCTCTGTCTTGTCACTTTTCCTTTTCTCAAATTGTCCGTCCCTCAACGGGATGATGTGTGCCGATGTTGAGATTTACCAGAGGAGTAATTCCATTGGTTGATAGATTTTTTCTTTTGGTCTCTTTAAAGATGCTGGCTCCATTTTTTAAAGCTATAGTAATATCTAGATTTTTTAAAGTTATAGTAATGCCTAATTTTATCATGAGAGCTTTTTTATTTGTTTGGCAAAATGCTCCTTGTGTGAAAAATATCATACAAAACAAATAGTTAAAAGGAGTAAAATAAAAGTTACCTTAATCCCACTACAAATGTGGAAGGTTCAGCACATTTAAAAGGTTTTCTTCAATGAAAATTTAGCTTTTAAAGTAAAATTTAAATTACACTGTTTTGGAACCTCCTTTTTCAGCATAATCATGAAAATCATTAACATTCTCTTCCGTTAAAAATTCTTACAGCATTCTTTCGTATTTAATATGTATCTTTAAAGATCTAATGGAGTTTCAGCTTAACATTATTTGAGTTACTGGGCGTGTGAACATGTGCTCAGGAACTGCAGTCTGATTTAAAGACTTTGGGGTGATGTTAGCAGTAGGTCAGCTTTCATAGTGTGAAGTGGACCAGCGCTCCATTAACAGATGGTCTCCATTAACAGAAGAAATGTCTGTAAGACGAACACCGAGCCTTTGTTCTCAAGATCTCCTATTATTTTCTTTGTTGTTATTGCTCGATGTCTGTTTCCTCGTTTCTCTTCATTATCCTGCTTGGTTGTTTCGTGGCCTTTAAGATTGCTGCCAGCGTTTTTGTTCGTTGGAATTTTCATAGCTTTCGCAATTTGTGCGCGTTCTATCATGAATAAATGTAAAGGTATCTCATAATCGTTAGCTTTATCGGAATTAGGGATCTGTAAGTAAGAAGAGCCTAGGCGGCACCTTCATGCTTCCTAACCCTGACTCCGTTGTATGAGTGCATTTAGAGCACACGTTCCTGGAATATGTGGGTCTTTGTCTTCCTGTCTCAGCACACAGAACAAGTGCCCCTTTCATTTTCAAAACAGCCTTTGAAATAGGTGTGTTGTAGCATTTCTCCATGGTCTTCGTATTTGGTATTGCCACCTTTAATTATTGACTGTTTTCCCCAGGGTTGTCTGATTGTTATTGATTGGACTGAATTGATAAGGAAATTAATTTTTCACAATTTAGGAGGTTAGGTCTGAACCTGACTCTGAGGAAAGGCTTTCTCCCTGTTGTCTCTAGAGCAGTGGTTCTCAGCCTGCCTAATGCCGTGACCCTTTCATACAGTTCCTCATGTGGTGGTGACCCCCCCCCCCCAACCATGAAATTATTTGCATTGCTACTTCATCACTATCACTTTGCTACTGTGAGGAGTTGGGCAACCCCCGTGAAAGGGTCACAGCGCACAGGCTGAGAACCGCTGCTCTGGAGGAAGGTCTTTGCTCGAGTTTCTGCTCCTGGGCAGCCTTCGTGTGGCTTGGCATCTCTTTTTCCCCATCTCTGCTTCGCTCCGTTGCTGATTTAATCTCTTTGATATCTCAAAGCATACTCTACACTTATTCTACCTCATTCATGTCACAAAACCCATTCCTAAATGGGATTATTACCCATCCCTCACTCTTCTACATGACTCGATTCCAAAGACCAGGCTGTTATGCAAAGATTGTCTTGGCGATACCAGATCATAAACGGAGATGACTGCATCCTTCCATAGCTGACAAATCACTGAGAATCATGGCTGGGCCAACTCACCGTGTGAAATCAGCTTCCACACTGAGAGTCACTCGCACCTCAGATTTCAGTGTCAATTACTCTCAGGGACATGATAATGTGCAAAGCAGTCAGAGAGGATTTCTTTGACTATTGTCATAAGTGTGGAATGTCCGGTAACGAGAGAGTTGATAGGAGTGTGAAAGGAGACACATACATACCAGGGCAGGGTGACTAAGGTCACACATTTTGGGGGAACATAATTCAAATGTCCGTATCAGAAGAGTGAGGTGTTGCCCTAACAGCTGTGAGTGAAAAGCAGTGTGGGAATTGGGCGATGAGTAAAGGCTGGAAGTCGCAAGGCTTTACCTAATCACAAAAGTCTAGCTCGCCTTCAGGAGACTTCACGAGGCACCAAAGGCGATTCTGACGATGGCTCAAAAGGAAGCGGGAAGAGGAGGCTCTAGAGCAGTGGTTCCCAACCTTCCTAACGCCACCACCCCTTCATGCAGCTCCTCGTGTGGTGGTGGCCCCCAAACCATGAAATCTGTTTCCGTGCTACTTCATAACTATAATTTTGTTACTGTTATGAATCAGGCGATCCCTGTTGTTCAACCCCCAAAGGGGTTGAGAACCACTGCTGTAGAGAAAGCCTCTTTTCTTAGAGAGTACCTGCAGTATCAGCAACAGAATATTGCTAGACCCGTAGGTGTTCAATGTACTTCTAGTGAGGCTTCAGAAGAAAACGATGGCCATGTGATTGGACAGTGAAGGAAGGGTAAAGGGTGATGCTTTTTATGTGGTGGCAAAGAACTGCCTAAATTACGTTCAGGTTTCTGTTGGAAGGAAAACTTATAAGGGATGAAAACTTGCCTATCTGGGTGATCTTAAAGGAGTCATGAGTTTTCCTTGCCCATTGTAAAATGTGAGAGACAAGTGATTGACCGGTACAAAATGAAAACAGAACTTAAAAGTTTGGAAAGGTCTGTTGTGTAAACTACAGACACATCACATCCTAAAGTGTAGGACAAAAGCTATGTCTACCCATCTTTTGTTACATAGATGAAGCCTGCGACTGATGCTTAACCAACAGCCATGGCGGAAAGCCCATCAGTTTACATTGCAGGTGACTGAGGAAGAATCAACGGAGAGAAATGGTTCTGCCTCTCAGAATCCTACAGACAGGAAACAGGCCCAACTGGCTACATTTGTTGTCCTCCAGTAAATAAACAGAAAAGCATCATCGCTGAGGCAGCTCGGCATACAAGAAGCAGCACCTTCTCAGTTTCACCAAGTGGGTTCATTGCCTTCTGGATCTCAAAGGGAGAGGCTGTACCCTCTTACACTTCCAAGAGTCAGATCTTTACCAATTCCGTTCTGGGGGATATAGAACTGTCAGGTGTGTCGGCAGGAGGGCCTCCACCCAAAGCCGAGTGTGCAACACTGCCATGCTGAGTGAGCAGAACGGCTGGCGGAAGTTGAGAGTGTGAGGTTGTCACTCAGATGGGCTGAAAGAATGCCCAAAGCTTGGGGAGCTGTTAGCACCCCAGCAGGCCTGGAGGGTGGAGCTGAAGCTCAGGGCTGGGGGGCTTCTACTTAGAATCTCAAGGGCATGGCCAACATCCAGGGTCTGGCGGGTAGGGTCATTACCCAAATGATCCAAAAGCACAGATTATTTTCAACTTTTAGAGTGTTAATGTCAATCATCCTCCAAGATTTGAAACTTGTTTGTTGCCTATTTTCTCATCTTTCTCTCTAAATTTCTCCAAGTTGTAGCAGAAGCGTCTCAACCTGTGCCGTTACGCTTTGGAAACACATAGTTTGTATTCTAGGTTCTTCAAATAAAAGGAATTTTGCCCCAGTATGGAGTGTACCTAAAATCTCATCCTTATTTGGTTTAGATCATTTAGAAGATAAAATTTTAGTCTTGAAGTTGGTGTAAGACTTTTGGGTATGTGATTAGGTAAATGTATTTTGCATGTAAGAGAACATGAGTTTTTGAGGGCTGATGTGTGGAATGATTGAATTTGGGACCTGCGGTTATTATAATCCTATTGGGGAGTGGCTTGTCTTTGTTATATGAATTAGGCAGTATTAGTGCAGGGTCTGTCTTGTGCAATATCAAAGAGAGAAAACTAACTAGGGAAAGAAGCAGAGATGGGGGAAGGTTGGTACCAACCCACTTGGAAACCTCCAGAGAACCAGGAAGCAGAAGCTAAAGAGACCAGGACTTTCCCGAGAGTGGACGCAGAGAGGGACCGTCCCTGGGAGCCGGCACTGGGAAACGGGGCTTGTCACAGCTCTTCCCTGCAGTACTTCGGTGAGAATAGCACTAGATGACTAGGGCACTAGGTGATGGAGACTCAGAACAGCTCCGGGGCTTGGGGTTGTTTTTTCTCCAAGAACTTGATTTTGTTACTCTTACGGTGCTTTTTTTCCTCTTTTCTAAAGCCAGAGCCTGTGTCAGTCAGTAATAGAAATGCCATTTGTAGCTGCGTACAACAAATAGATCTGTGGTGCCTATTACAATGCCGTTTTCAGCTTTCAATGTCTAGTCCTCTGAATTTTTTCATTTCCTAATAGAACTGTGTATAGCAAGCTAAAATTTTGATGATGCCTGTCATGTTGCTGGGCTAATTCTGAATTTGGCATTTCCGTCTTCTCTTGAACATTATTAGCTGTTGATTTTCATTCCTCTTCAAGACTGGACAAATCTTTGGCTGTGTTTATTTGGTAGTGTGCTGTTCTGTTTCCAGCCTGTGTCAGGCCAGATCAGGTGGTTTACTGGCTGATTGCACTGCACCGCATTTATGTCTCTGCAGGGTTGGCCCGTGACCCAGTGCTTGATACTGTGAATCTTGATCTTTGTGTTTGGGGATTTAGAATACCCAGAGGATGTATGGCATTATCACAAGTAAATAGAAGAATAGTTGTACTCAGTCTTTAATTCATGCCTGAGTCAATTTACCATCAAGTTATCACTAACTTTGGGGTATTAAAAAGTCTTAAAATTTGATAAATTGTGAGTTTCATTCTCCTTCTAGTTTCTTTTATGAATTTCTTTGGAAAAGGATATATTGTTTTCCTTTCCCTTGTGATTTCCATGAGGCAGACAGTTCTATACCCCAGGCGGCTGTGTCCGCCCAGGGATTTCTTGGCTTCCAGCACTTGGGCTCACACATTCCTTTTCTGTTGGAGATGCTGCAGAGACGAGGGGGAGTGGCCCTGTACCCGAGTGCCTGCTTGGCAGACTGCCTGGGGGAAGAGGGATGCATTGTCCAGAGAAAGCAACGTTGACTGCACCTCCTGCTTCAGAAGAAAAAAGGAGAGATTCACTTCTTTGAAAACCAATGCCTTTTTAAAATTTTATTTGTTTATTTTTTATCAATGCCTTTTTTTAACCCCTTCTCTCAGTCAGATAGTTTGATTTTCGGCAAGGTTTCTGTGTTAACCTCAGCAGAAAATCCTGATTTTCTTATAAGGACTATTAAAGTTGTTTGATACTTTTCTTCTACAGGATATGGACTTAGCTTTTGTCTTTCCTCTTCCAACTTAATTTTTTTTAATAGGAAAAGATTAATCCTCCCTAAAGTTAGAGAGAGTTCTGAAAACAAATAGATCCTATGTAGGCTGTCACCATGCATACTGTCATCAAAGCAGCTCTGATGGAGGCCTTGAAGGGGTACATTGAGTGACATACAAGGGGACTTCAAAAAGTTGCTGTGAAATGGAATGAAAAGATAATGGCATTTCCCCACGTGCTCCTTTTTGACGCTCATTTTGACACTCCTTTGTAATTGCCTGGGAACCCAAATAGAGCTTTCGTTTGGGATTGCAGTAGCAGGTGCTTGATTAGGTCTGTTCCTATACTCCCACCCTGTGATCACTGCAGTGGCAGCACCTTTGATATCGTGTTCGCAGTTGGCTGTGAGACAGTTTCTGTTTTGCCTGCATGAGTCGGTGAGAACTCTTTTTGCAAATAGTGGGCCGCTTTTCATACTGCAATCAAAATGCGTGAAGGAAACAGAACTGTGGCATAGTGACTCGTGTATACCTCCATAGTGAGCTTCGGCCTCTGTCCTGGGGACTCCTGTCAGAAACTGAGGGTCTCTTTGGGCAGCACCATGCATGGCGGCAGAATGTCAACGCCCCATATAGTCTGTTAAACATGTTCACCTGCTGGGCAGAGAGCCCTCCGTGGCCTAGAGTGCTCCCTCTCCAGAGAAGAAAACAGTAGTGATTGTTCTTCCTTAAGATTGCAAGAGGGGATGAACAATCTGGAGGAGAAAACAACGGGACTGACAGTTCCGGGGGGGACATGGGAGAGGGGGAGGAGGGGGGAAGGGAAGAAGAGGGGATAA